ATCTGATCTAGTTACAATCCCCACCAGGTCCGCAAACTGAGTTGCAAAATTGGGAAAAAATGGGGAAAAATGAAATTATAGAAAGTTAAAACTAAAAAACGATATGTATTATTCACTAATGAAATTTCACATACATCAAAATATTTTAGTGAAAATGTTAGGTGTCGTAAAACAGAGAAACAAAAAGTTTGAAAAGATAGCATTTTAATTGCATATCTAGAGGGATAACTATGAAAAAGTTGGTGATAACTATAAAAAAAAAGTTGATGTGATCATGTTGACAATTGGTTTAATATTTAGAGATGTAAATTAATCTTTCTCAGCGAAAAACAATGTAAATTGCTTCATTTTATCTTTGGGTTAAATTAAAAATCTTGTATTGTATAACTTTTATCCAAAAAATTATTATTATTATTTTTTTTTGAAAACTATCCAAAAAAATTATTAGACCCAATTATTTACCAACAATTTTAGAAACATAACTTTTTAAAAATCAAAAAACCATGTATAGCGAAAGTTCTAGTAGACAGAAGAAGAAAAAAAAGTAAAAATAACGAAACTTTTTTAGTAGTGATAATAACAATTCGTACCGACTTAAAAAGAAAGAAAGCAATAGTCAATATGTTAATACAATCAGATATGAGAATATTACAAAATATCCCAATCATTCCCTCTTGAGTCTTGACTTTTGAGTTTTTTTCTCAAAAAAAAAAAAAAGACTTTTGAGTTTTGAATACGCATTTCGTAAATTGTGTGAAAGAAGCTGCCTTGCAATACAAGAAACTGAGTTTTGTGGGTTTATCAATTATCGAATGTCTATTGATAGATCAACTGATTGGCGACTAATTAACCAACTGATCGCCTACTCTATCAATTTTGAAAACTGAGTTGACATTTAACAGAAAATGTCGATTTCAGTAATAAACAGATGAAAAATACTCGAGAACAGATCATAACAATACTGAAACACACTTTACTTTTACGTTTTGTGTATCCCAAAACATATTAGCACTACCAAAACACATACCATCATGAGTTCATGTGTTTTTTTTTTGTTTAAATTAAAATACAAAGCTTATAAAATTCCCTTGGAAGTTGAAACCAACTTTCCT